GCATCTCTAATTATTGGCGACATCAGAAATGGATATTATATAATAGATGCTTTTTTGAACATTTTAGCAATTATAAAAAAATTATTTTTTACACGGCACCCCTGCTCTCGACAGACGGCACCCCGGTTGGGAAACACTGGTCTAGAGCATGCGTATGCACTCTTTTACTGGAGGGAGCGAAATAAGGAAGCAAACAGAATTATTTTAAAGTCTGTTTTACATTTGACATACACATTTAGATTAAATATGACACTCTGAATAATGAAGTTAAGCACTGAAATTTAATGAAATTATTATCCAGAAATTAAACCATTTGTATATGAATTTAAACAGAAATATTTGCAGTGGATGTGCTGCTTTCGAACGGTTTTCCTGTGGTAGGCTGTGATTTAAATGTTTTAATCACAGCGAGGATTGCTTGGCGTATGACAATTTCGCTTTAAATTGTGTTCTAAATGGCAAAACTCATGTTCTGAGAAAATACTCTTGCACGATCATTGATGTGAACTTGACTTCGTCTGATGGCTTTGGAACAGGTGGTAACGACAGACATAAGGATGCGCTCGTTGATCAAACAGTCCATTGGCTGTTTTGAACAGGTCCGATGACAGTAGAACTGTTCACAGGTGTCTCGCACAGACAGCAGCCTAATGATAACTCCTTTTATGCTCTTCCCAATATTGTGACAAACACCAAGATAGAATTTGAAGGAAACTGTAAGATATGCGTGTTTTATTTTCAAAATGTTTTGTTATTGACGCGGTGAGTCAGACAGCTATTTACACTGAAAAAAAAAAAAGGCCTATCTTTTTCCATAAAAATATAGGCTATAAACATAAAATGTTTACCTCATAGGCAAATTGCATAAATTAGAATAGTGATGTCTCAAAACTCATTTATAGTCCGTATCGTACCATATTTGCGGGGGAGTCGTGGCCTAATGGTTAGAGAGTTGGACTCGTAACCCAAAGGTTGCGGGGGGGGGGGGTTGTGGGGGGGGGGGGGGGGGAGTTGTGATAAAATTGTGAATGAGAGCCGGTGCCATAACACAATCAAATTAAATGCTAGCACAACAAAAACACACCCATCGGAGGGGAGCATTTGATTGGAAGGGAACCAATGACAGCTATTCTTTATGGATTAGTTTCTGCTTTTGGATCTTTCATCCCTTTCATCCGTCAATCATCATTTATTGTTATTATTATTACAATAAAAGTGCAAATAACAGACACATTAGCCATTTGATTGGAAGGGAACCAATGACAGCTATTCTTTATGGATTAGTTTCTGCTTTTGGACACTAGTAGTCTTTCATCCGTCAATCATCATTTATTGTTATTATTATTACAATAAAAGTGCAAATAACAGTTTCCACAAACACATTAGCACAGATAATTTTGAATTATGACTTTAAAACCCCACTTTAGACAACAAATAACCATGAGGGCCACAATTAAAGTCAAAGAAGATTTTACCTGTTTACGATTATGTGACGTCCTCACCGTGTGGGCAGAATTTGCAAAAATCATCCTTAACAACCGAATACCCACCGATGGATGAATAAATTTCTACCAAATGTTTCTATCTCTTACGTTCTCGTGTATCCAGGAGGGTAAAGTTGTATCTGTGGCTCTATAAACCATAGAGACTGAGCAGTGCTGTCATAGAGTCTCACTTTGACGTATCTTTAAGACCGAATTGTTGCGGGGGAGAAATAATAGGTGTTGCGGAAGGGTGAGCGGCATATATCCCACGGACACTCGCTGTAGTCGGCTTGCCCAGCCCCTCTGTTTCGCTCAGTTCATTGATCTGCGGTGACTTCTCCACAGAACTACACCTCCCACTATGGAAGAAGCCACTGCGCTCTGTTTAGAGGGGGGGATGTGCACACAAGCAACACTTAAAAACATCACAAAACAGACTCTTCACTCAAATACTAATGCATATTGCATATTAAGCACGTACGAATGCATTTACATCCACTATGTAGCATGCACAATGCTCTGGTTTTTAAGTGAGATGATATGACATTTTATCGACCCCCCTTTGGCTGCTCTTGGTTTCCTTTGGCCCGCATACTTCACATTCCGGAGTGAGGCCTTTAGGTTTTGTGGTTTTACAATTTCATATGTGCTATATGGACTGATTTAACAATGCGTTTAGAACGAGAAGCCAGAATGAGGGTAAACAACATGAAAATCAATGGCAATGAAATATAGATGTAGTCTAAAAAAAGGGCCATTTATAGCTTTTCGGTGTTATCTAACTGCAGGAAGAGCTGGTATGTAAACTGACACTCCTCTACGGGTGGAGGATCTGGCTGTGTAGTAAGGGTAAAATTCATGAAAACATGTTCAGGTTACGCTTAACCTTGTAAAGAGAAGGAAGAAACCAGAAATTATATTTTGTATGAATTAAATGAAGCGTATTGTAGGACCATTAAAGCTTTTTTGCATTATGACCGAATTTTCATGACAATTAGGATCTCAGGAGTGCTTTACTTTTTCACTATTATTTTGAATTAAAGTGATTTTATTAAATGATATTTAAAGGGGTCATATGACGTTGCTAAAAAGAACATTATTTTGTGTATTTGGTGTAATGCAATGTGTTTATGCGGTTTAAGGTTCAAAAAACACATTATTTTCCACATACTGTACATTATTGTTTCTCCTCTATGCCCCGCCTTTCTGAAACGTGTCGATTTCTACAAAGCTCATCGGTCTGAAAAGCGAGGTGTGCTGTGATTGGCCAGAAAACTCGCGTTTGAATCGTCAGTGGCAAATTCTTTAAATATGAAAACGTACTTACAGGCTGTGAGTCTAGTTGTGTCCTCTTTTGGAAGATCTAACAAAGTAGTTTTGCTTTCACGACGAAGCACACAGCGTCTCCACAACATGGCGTTTGCAACTTTACAGATCTTCTTTATGCAGCAAGAGCTTGTAACACTCCAAAGAGAAAGGAAAAATTGAAATCGCATCATATGACCCCTTTAAAAGCAAGTAAGATAAATAATTATAGTACATGACATTTCATTTAATATATAATGAACTATATTTAATGTAATAAAATAGTGGGGGAAATGTATGCATGTATGTTTGTGTATATGTTATACTATATTATGTTATATATTTATATATAATTTTCATTTTATTAAAAGAAAAATAATAAAACACATTTAATGTATATATATATATATATGGCGCTGCTCTGCCGGCGGTTTTGTTTGTTAATGTTGTTCATGACTCCTCAGTGTTATGTTTATCTTCGCGGAACTCTTTGTGCATTACTTTTACTGGATGTGTCTTGTGCGTTGAATTATGAGTGGCATGCAAGGCAAGTAAAATGGAAACGAGGCCTATTGCTGGGATTAGCATGGCTAGTCTTGTCAGACCGGGTCATCCGGGGCTGTGCTGGAGGGTCTACGAGCAGTGGCCAATTAACATACAGCGTGACCGATCTGCTGGGATTGCGGCACAGCGGAGTGCCATGGTTGCCTGGCCTGTTGAACGATATGCCTCGTGAGCTACTTCGAAGTCCCGTGAATTCCGTGGGTCTGGTCTAACGGCTTTTACTGAAACGTGGTTTGGGAATGACGTTCCTGACAATCTTATACAAATTGAGGGTTTCTCCCACGTACGACTGGACAGAGATGCAAATTCAGGTAAAACTAAGGGAGGGGGTGTGTATCTATATAAGAGACAGTTGGTGTCGTAATATTACAATTAGAGAGAAAATATGTAATCCTGATCTCGAACTGCTGTGCGTTACCCTGCGACCACATTACCTGCCTAGGGAATTCACTAACATCTTTGTGTGTCTTGTATATATTCTACCAAGCGGGAATGCCAATAGAGCAGCTAAGCAGATTACGGACTGTGCTCACCACCTTCTCCAGAGTAAACCTGATGCACCTATGCTGATACTCGGTGATTTTAATCATTGTAGCCTGACTAAAACACTGCCTGGTTTTTATCAGTATGTGAAGTGCAGCACTAGGAATAACAATATCCTCGACAAGTGCTATGGTAACATCAGGGATGCCTATATAGCTAAAACCAGACCACCTCTCTGTAACTCTGACCACAATGTCATCCACCTGCTTCCAACTTACCGGTCAGTTTTTAAGACTTGTAAACCCGAAATGCAAACTGTGAAGGTCTGGACAAAGGAAAAAAAAGAGGAGCTGAAAGGCTGCTTTCTCTGTACGGACTGGAATATCTTCTTTGAGGATGCAGGCATTGACAGTGCAGCAGAATCAATCACAGATTACATTTCTTTCTGTGTCAACTCTATTATCCCCCAGAAAACTGTTAAGCGATATCCAAATAATAAACCGTATATTACTAAAGGTATCCGGGACTGCATCAGGAGGAAGAGAGCTGCCTTTATATCTGGCGACTTGGCAGGTGTCCATGATGCTCAAAAGGACCTCAATTTCCAAATGAGAGAGGCCCGGTGTCGGTTTAAGGAGCGGGCAGAACAGGACTTGTCTACATCTAATACAAAGAAACTGTGGAATATGTCTGCGTTTGTGTTAAAGACCTTTGCTGAGGAGTTGTCACCTGCCTGGCATAAATTATTTCAGTTCTCTATAGATACTCATGCCGGTACTGTGGAAAAAATCTGTTATCATCCTGGTACCCAAAAAGGGGTGCCCTCGGGAGGATAATGATTACAGACCGGTGACACTCACCTCAAATGTTTTTAAAACATTTGAGAGGCTTATGTTAGAAAAGTTATGTACAGATGTGGAGCCATTGCTTGATAAATATCAGTTTGCTTATACAAAAAATCGAAGCACAAGTGACGCCATTGCAACAATAATGCATCTCATTTTGAAGCATCTTGAATGTCCGACTGCATATGCCAGATTACTTTTTATTGACTTCAGTTCAGCTTTTAACTTAATACAGCTACACATTCTCCTCAGTAAGCTAGCCCAGGCAAAGGTAAATTCTTTTTTAATCAAGTGGTATCATTCTTTTTTTGTATGACAGGCCACAGCAGGTGAGGTTTAATTCTGCTTTATCTGACATAGCAGTATGTAGTACTGGCGTCCCTCAGGGGTGCGTATCTTCACCATTTTTGTTTACATTCTATACAAATGACTGTGTCAGTGTGGAGCCAAATCAATATATAGTGAAATTTTCTGATGACACCGTTCTACTCAGTCTGCTAACAAAAAAATCTAATTTGAACACCCATCGTGCAGCGGTAGATTGGTGTGATGCACATAAACTGCAGATTAACATAAGTAAGACTGTGGAAATGCTGGTGGACCCTGGTTCAGTAGGTGATCATGGCTCTGTGGCCATTTATGGCCATGAGATCGAGCAAGTGAGCTCATTTAAATATCTTGGAGTTCACATTGATAGTGATTTGGGCTGGCGCACACAGGTGACAAGTGTCTGTACCAGAATCCACCAGCGCCTTCATTTTTTGCGTAGACTTAGACTATTTGGCGTTTGTAAACATATTATGTTGATTTTCTACAGAGCAGTGATTGAATCGATCTTTAGGTATGGCATGACTAGCTGGTTTGGTAATTTAACAGTTACATCTAAAGCACAGATCTCCAGCTTAGTTAGGACAGCGGGTAAAACTATGGGTACTCCTGCTCCCCTTAATCCACAGGAGCTGTTTGAGCAGGCCATAAGCAGACAAGCTAGAAGTATCTTGTCTGACAATACACGTGCTTTACCCTGAATATAGGCTGATGAATTCAGGGAGGAGGTTTAGGGTCCCATTGTGCAGGTACAATAGGTTTAAACATTCTTTTATCCCGTTGTCAATTACATTTTTAAATGATCAAAAGGGAACGTATTCTGTGGTGGATTAGAGTGGGAGTGTTATCTGCATGAGATGAGTTCACCTGGTTAAATTGTATGGCACATTGGGTATTTTTATATATGTTAATATGTCTTCCATGTTATGTCTTTTTTTGTGCAGCACGCCCTTTGTCCAAGCCAAATTTCTCCCTCGGGAAACAAATAAAGTTAACCTTACCTATATACTGTATGTATATATATATATATATATACACGATTAATTAAATGTAATTGAATAAACTGTGGGGAAATGTGTGTGTGTAAATATATATATTTAAGTAATTGTATTAAACTCTATTAAATTCAATTACAAGATAAATAAAATTTAAATAAATTAATTATTTAAATAAAACATTATTATTATTATTAGTACTACTACTACTACTACTACTACTACTACTACTAGTCTGCAGAATTCATATTCTATTCAACCAGATTTGGCTAAATCTGCCTCAACATTAAAAAATTAAGCACATGCAAATTTAACATTAAATGTCCACAGCATAAAAATCATATCTGTGTCCAAAAAGTTGATGTTTCTGTAATACTGACATCAAGACTTCGATATCTGAATGAATACTTCATTTAAACCAGAAACTTTATTAAAACTATGACATAACAGATAAAAGGAAGTCTGGCAATAACGTAGTGACCAAAACATGTGACACAAATGCATCCTCTCTTATATTTGAGCTTCTTCTTGGTCTAGATTTCAGCTCTGCTCAATCTGAAAATTCATCAACCAGCTTCATCAAGTGCATCAATGAAGGAGGAACATGCATGGTAAACACTTGATGATGCCTTTCCTTCACTGTCTGCTGCAACTCATCAATTTAGACACAAATAGAAAGAAAAATGTAATTCTCTCAATGCACACAGCACGTCTTGTCTTTCTCCGTCGCTCTTGCTCTCTCTCTGAGGTTGTGATGAATGTAAGGCACGTCCTCACACCTAAACACTGCA